TAGTTTTTTGGCCAAAAACAATACTATCATCATGCCTCAGCCACCGTATTCACCAGACTTGACCCCCTGCGACTTTTTCCTCTTCCCAAAATTGAAAAGGCCCATGAAAGGACGAAGATTTGCGACGATTGAGGAGATTAAGGCTGCATCGCTGGAGGAGCTCCCCCAGGCAATACCCAAAAGTGCATTTCAGAAGTGTTTTAACGACTGGAAAAAGCGCTGGCACAAGTGCATTGTATCAGAGGGGGATTATTTTGAAGGGAATAACATAATTTTGGATGAATAAATGAATATTTTTTTATAAAAATGAAAAGTCACCTTACTTTTTGATCACACCTCGTATATGGAAGCAGAGTTGCATACCACAACACAAAGTCACTGACGCAAAAAGTTCAATATGATTAAGATTTCGAGGGCTGTAAAGTATTGATACGCATTTGAGTAACGTTTATCAACACTTTACAGACCCCAAAATCTTACACGCATTGAATCTCTTTGTATCGATGGTTTTACGTTTTGGCTCTGGAGCTTAAATTGGACAGGCCTAATATACAGGCTTATGCCGAGCCATTGAAGTAGAAAAAAAATCAAAATTATATGATAATGAATACTGGATTGGCAACTTTTAATTTGAATCATAATAAAAATTCTCGTCACAAACACTCCATCGTTGATTATCTTATATGTTTATTTATATTATTACCTATGTAAGAAAAACAGCTCACAAAGTATATTTTCTTATTGGCAAGTAAAAGCAATTATACTTTTCCAAAATTACAACTCATCTGATATATTGAAGGCTTCGATAGCTTTCGAAGCTCCGCTTCTTTTCAATTAAGCTTTGGAGTATTTCAAAGATTTCTCTGAAAAAGCTTTTGCCGTCTTTCTCCGGATAGAGAAATATCGAAATGTTTTCAATCTAATCACTAGATTATCTGATAGAGATTTCACTGATTAAAACTGAGGTTACATCAGTCGCTGTCAAAAAATAATTCACAAATACTATGATACATTTATGATCGCTGACGTAACATCCGGTCATATCAGATTTTAACAGTCATGAACGTAAAAATATAATTATGAAACATGGGCCTCTAAAATCGAACCCCAGGCATTTCTGCTCTATACATACATCCCTGCGTAAATAAATGACAAACTAAACTGCAGTCGCCTTCGCAGGTAGAACGACATCTACGGCAGTAACTACATAAACGAACGCCACTCCATATCTACTTGCATCATGGCGCGGTCGTGCAGCGTTGTCCATGGGTATTGCATCATTATTTTGACGTGATCTAACTTTATTATCTCCTCATTATTTACGGAGGCAGCCAAGAAATAAGAAGAATTTGCCATATGTCTATGATCTCACACGTACACGAAAGAACTAGACCAAATAAAGAAAAAAAAGGAGCAAGTACTCATTGTTATTTGACTATTATAACGGCGTAACCAGGCATAACATACTTTTTTATTCGATATGGATAATGATTATTATGCCACTATATATACATGGTAAGTATATAACAATAATATAAGTATAAAACAGTCTACATAATATTATATTCGATTTTCGTGACATGAACAATTTTCATCACACACGCACACACACACAAGTTCTTGGTGGCAACTCGATCGGGACGGATGTATGTCTCGTCTCGCTTCGAGTATTGAATCATTTTTGGAAAGCGTTGCCGGCTTCAACTGTGCCTAATATGACTGGCCAAGTGCCAACTAAAAATGAAAAAGAAGAAGACTAGAAGAAGACAAAAATTGATTCCTGTGGAAGGTTGGAGGTGTCTAGGAAACTACTGGCCAAGTTTACCTCGTCAACAAGGACCAGGGCTATTAATTACAAAGAACACATACACACACACACACACAAAAGGTTATCTACTTTCACTTTTCAAAGTGGATAATTATCTAGAAGACGCTCCTCTTTCAATTTCAATGAAATTATGTTCATTCGACGCATTTTTGCATGAAACGAAAGAATCTGGCAGGAAAATATGCTTAGAAAATACGCAAAGTGAAATATTAACTCTTATTGGATACCTTTGGTCATTTGTGACCTGCACATTTCTTTGAAATACTAAGAGCATATGATCAAATATTAGTCTGTTTCCTATCCCTAAGAAAAAGTTGGACATCTAGAGAACAAGTTTTATGCATTGCCGGCTTCAATTTGTATGTATCCTTTAACTAGAATTGACTAGAATAATTCTGCAGTTCAACTCTAAGTCACAAATGACATTGGTTGTGTACATTTTTGTAACTAAAAAATTTTTATTTTTTTCTTTATTTTCAACTAATCTCATTTAAATTGCAGAAATATTTTGCAAATTATTAAAAAAAGAATTTAATCCTAGGACATATTAGTCTTTGATAAACAAGATGGCTTTTTTGCACCCTCATATTAAATGTCTGTGATGTTATGAAGAACATTTTCCTAATAAAATATAAGTTTTTTTAACACAATAGCAACAGTAAAATGCATTATTTAAAATGTAGATGCAATATATCTTCAATTCATATTTAAAAAAACAGGTTATTAAATAGCTAAATTTTTTGGACAGCACTTGAACTATTTTTTTTTTGTAGTTTAGAATGTCAACTTTAAGATATTAAAACATATTTTTTCTTTAAAAATTTTTGTTTCACAGCTTTACACTTTTGTATGAAAAATTAACTAAATATAGTTAACAAAATAAGAAAAAGTACATTTTTCTCAGTTTGTTAACTATATTTAGTTATAATAATTTATATACAATTTATTATAAATATACAACTTTACAAATACTTTCTAAAGATGTCAAAATATAAATTGTTTAATAATTTTTATGTAAAAGTAATGAAAATTAATTTAGAACACGTATGATCTAACGAGTGTAGTAAGGGTACAAAACTAAGGTGTATACTAAGGGTTCATCGTTAAAATTTAACTATTGTTAGGTTAGGAAATATGTCATCGATGGCATAGAGGGTTACACAAATTTTGTTTTAATAATATAAATTTTCTATTTTAAAAATAAAATATTTTCTATATAATTTTTGTTTTTACAATAGAGAATTTATTTTTAAAGCAGAAAATTTTTATGTTTTTAAAACAGAGGATTTGTGTTTATAAAATAGAGAATTTGTGTAATCCTCTATGTCATCGATGTGACACATTTTCTAACCTACAATAGTTAATTTTAAGATTAATATCTCGCTTTGCGGGACTGAGCACATTTTACTGCCAAATTCTTTTGTTTCATACAATAACGCATGAGCATAATTTCATTGAAATTGAGGAGCATCTTCTGGATAATCCAATTTGGGCAATTTATAGCTCTAACTCATAATATAATTTCTATATTTTTGTTCATTGTTACTTCTAATAAGGCTACTGTATTTTTATAGGTTCGAGAAATGTGGGATTGTATCTAATATCAGGACACATCTGCGACAGAACTTGGTGAACGCTTTGAAACGCAAGGATCTGAGGCTATGTAAGAATATAGAGGCAAGGTCAGCAAAACAGTATGTTTATGATATGTTAATAGCCGAGTATCTATTTAGTCACAATTACTCCTTCACCCTGTCGATATTTGCTAGTGAAGTCCCACTTTTAGTAAACTTTTGCAACAGTGTGCCACAGTGTTCCTCTGATGAGAGTGATAGAGGTAGTGGTAGCGGACATAAGTTACAAAGTGATTACATAGCACACACTCTGGAAACTTTAGGCATTGATCCCAACAAACCCGAGGGCCAATATATTATATCAAATTATATGAATAGTGAAACACCATTGTTGCTATCTATTCTGAGCTCGATAGCCTCGCTTGTTACTAACACTCAGTCATCAACAAGAAGGACTATGTACGACAAGAAGACGCAAACTAATTTAACTTTGGAAGTAAATCTTGTAGAAGCAACAAAAATAGAGGCAATAAGGAAAAGAATTATGCAACAGAAACAACTGTATGATGACGAGTTAAAGGCAAAGGAAAGCAAATTAAAGCAGCAAGTCACAGTTATAAAGCATCAACTTAATTCATTAAATGCAAAAGTGGAAGAAGCTCAGGTAATGCCTTTAATCACTTATATATTTCATATAAGATATTTTATAAATAATGCAGAAAAGGAGAGCAACTGTCTTTGACCTGATATATAAAATCTATCTAATCATGATTAAAAAACATTTTCCTTGCTAATAATTTTTTTCTTAAATAATTAAACACTGAAATTTCTATTATCATTATAATACATAATATAAATTATGCTGAAAGTAAAAATTATAACGAAAGTAAAAGTTTCAAAATAAAAATTCTTAAAAAATACGGCGCGCAAATTGCCGATTTCGTGCAACTGGAGAGTGCGTTGTCACTAATTAAATTATAGCATAAATTTTTATGATAAAGTATAAGTAGGTGAGACATACCTACATATGATGTCTACATATGATTTATGATTATTTTCCACCTGATTCACATAGGGTAAAAAATATATTTTTCACGTATTTGTAAATATATTGGACTAAAGCAATGACATCAGTATTTTCTTTATTTGTGAAAAAATTGCTTTTTCACGGAATAAAATATAATATATTATTCCGTATATAATATATTGTATATATATATTTTTAAATTGAATAAATTATTTAAGAAAATTATTTTAATTATTTATTCAACTTTATTTTTAAAAATACATAGAGGGAAAGCCGCTATTATGAGATATCGAATTCATTTTGAGTAAATGCTAAAAATCTATAGGCAGAATTTAAAAAAATAATAGGTCATTTTGAAAGGAATTTACTAAGCTTCAAGATAATATTATGTAAAATTTAATTCAAATTTTATTTCTTTTTATAAATTAAAGAAATATAAAAAGTGAGCAAATCGCAAAGTAAAAAAATTGTATTCCTAATATGAGATGTTCCGAAAAATCGATAATAAAATGTAAAGTCGTACATCAGTATTGCAATTAAAAAACTTTATTTAATATTTCTAAAATACAAATAAACATAGCCAGTGCGCGTACAAAATGAATATGCGATGTATTGTACCTAGCTGATTCGTCTTCAGGTAATTGGAATCAAGCATCGTAGAAACTCGATGTTTATTCCGATTGTGTTTTTTATTATTGTACAATAACATTTATACTTTAGCAATTTTCACTATGACATGGAAGCAAAAATTATTTCATATTAGAAATACCCTAGGTATCTCATTACGATTTCCACGCCTTACGATTTTGCGATCATATCAAATTTAACTTCTGTAATTAAGCAATTTAACATATCATGTATTTTTCTATTAGTACGATCTTACTCTATCACCATATGAACAATTTATTGCTAAATATTTACTTATTAAATAATAAACAAGGTTTAAAAGCTCATCTCAATGAAACTTGGACATTCAAATGCTAAAATCTTTTTTTACAACGACTACAGGCATGATATAATAAAGAATTTTCCACTAAATAATTTTCAATCCAAGAACAATAAATTTATGATGAAACAAATAGATAGCGTTTATTAGTTTAGCGGAAACGCCGCTATCTCATAATAGGGGGCTTTCCTCTATGTATACATATATGAATGCATTATTTAAAATTTAAATAATTCTGTGAGAAAACAAAATTATATGAAAAGAATCGTATTTTGATCATTTCTTAAACATTTTTTTTTTGTTAGAAAAAAACGTTTCCCTTAACGTTTTTCGAATAGATATTTTAATCAATCAGAAACGTTTTCAAGAACCAGTTATGAAACGTTTCAGAGAAACATTTGTGAAACGTTTTTTAAATGAATATGTGCTATCTGAGGAGTGCGTAAGGATGCGTTAGCTAGAGAATTGAAAAATGTTTGAGACGTTTCGGGGTGTATCAAGGTGTTCAAAGTGAGATAACAGTGGAGGTGGGATAGATAAAAATGTAGTAAGCTATGAAAAATATTTAAGACGTTTCGAGGAATATTAAGGTATCCAAAATGAAGTGGGAATAGGGATAGGATGGGGGTGGGGTGGAAGTGTGCATGAATGGGTAAGGATGTAGCAGAGGATATATCGTAAATGTTGGCGTGTATTGAAGTCTCTGTAATAGGTGGGAGGGGTTCGGATGAATAGTGTAGGTGTTAGTGAATATGTGGTGTGGAGGGTGCTTGGGAGTGTGTGTGTGTGTGTGTGAGTGTATTCGAGCATTAATTGTCGATTATAATCGAATCATGGTCTCCGCAGACACCTCGATGACAGTTCTTAATTTTATTTTACTCAATTTTTACAAAAAAATTAAAATAACTCCCTTAATATTCATCGGAGAAAAAAATAACGACTTTCATTGCATAATAGGACTCTGTGCTATCGATTGAGCCTATTAAAAATTTTATCTAGCCATTTTTTTTTAGATATGAACATAGTGTTTCCGATCAACTCGACGATTCGAGTAAAGATACACTGTAGTATCTCCTGCGTTCAGTACGCGCGAATACTTGGCGCGAGACACTATCATATCTCTTGATTGGAAACTATTCTGTATCCTTCCTTGCTTACAATAATGGCTTTCCATGCTTATGGACGCGCGACTTCCACACGAAGCAAGTTTCACTCCATCTTCCCTTCAGAAGCATCCGATTTTCATTTCCCTTGACAGGAGAGAGGTGGAGTGAAAGTCACTTCGCGTGGAAATCGCGCGCCCCGAAGCTGGGAGGAGAGGCGGGGTGAGAGTCGCTTCGCGTGGAAAGTCGTGCGTCCCTGAGCAGGGGTGAAGGTGGAATGAGAGTCGCTTCGGATGGAAAGTCACGCGCCCTTTGGTAGAAGGAGGAGGTAGAGTGAAAATTGCTTTGCGTGGAAAGTTGTATTCCTTGAATTCGTCCACCTCATACTACTCTCCCTGTCTAAAATTATCTGACTCTTCGTATAAAAGGCTGCATTCAGATGCCCAGATTCAATTACGCCCAGACAATTCTAAGCTACAGATTACATTATGTATATTATAGCAAAAATGCACACTACAGTTATCTAAGCATAATTCCTGAACGCTACCAAGCAGGAAAATAATTATTAATTTTGACTGTTAATAACTATTTAACGAGTAATAGCTAAAACTTATTGGGAGATCACTCAAGGTCATGACCTTGACATTTTGGCAACATATGTCAAGGTCAAGGTCATCAGCGATTACTCCCCTTTTCTGCAGTTTTACCTTATAAATAATTATTTGTATATATTATTTCTTAATAATCAATTTTGTAATGGATAAAGGATTCTTTTTTTATTATTAAAGACCAGTGTATAACTTTTCACTTAGAAAAAAGTCAAGTCCTAAAGAAATAATCTAAATATCTGGAGACACGATAGTGTCTTGACGCCAATCTTATATTACTTTGGGTACTTTCCAGCAAGAGACAGATGACAATATAATACAGTGAAATATTTTATCTTTGTTTAATGTTGAAAAACATTAAGTATGTGATATAATAATGATACACTGTGTTATATTCTACTATTTGCTGAAAAGCGTTCTTTATACACACACACACACACACACACTCACACACACACGTATGTATATATTTATTTATTTATTTGTGTTCCTTTCTGTATATAGAATTTAATGCAATCTTTGACGCTGAAAGAAATGCAATTGAAGGAAGAAAAAAATAGCAATACACAATGTGTCCTGCAAAAGGAAATAGAACTATCTATGAAACAAAATTTCTTAACACAAGAAGCTAACAGGTATTTAATGGAAGCAAGAAAAAAGATAATTTCTAAAAATATTAGAAATACTTGATAGGCAATTAAACAATAGTAACAATTCCTAATTTTCATAATTTTTTTATTCTGGTTTTTTATTCTACTCATCTATTTATCTTAAATATTTTTATTTAAAATAAATTAAAATAATTTTTGTAGATTGCAAAGAGAACGAGATAGTTACAGGAAGTTCGAAAATGGCTTGAAAAAACTGCAACGAGAGCTCGTTAAAATGCAGAAGGAAATGTCACAAAGCACATCGAATCAATATGCTCAAAACAATTTTAGAGACATTTATGTACAAACTGATAGGGAGAGCCGTACCATAATGGATGAATGCAGAACTCTACAAAGGGAGAAGCTGGAGCTAACGAATCTCGTGGAAATGCAACGATCAAAAATAGAACAGATCACGCAGCGCAGCATCCAGTTATCACACCAATTGGAGGAGGTTCATTTATTACCATTTGAAATGCCAGTTCCTGTGACTCGAATTGCCAGCACAAATGCAATTGTTAGTGAGAGTAGTTCTACCGAAGATATTCTTCAGGACGCCAAGACGCGGCTAAAGCGCTTGGAAGAAGAAAGTTCCAAAGCCGATCAGTATTTTTGTACTTTCGTTAACACGTCTTCGTAGCAAATAAGACATTTCAAAATATTATTTACTATTTATTATATATTGCATGCACAATAATAAACTTTGAAAATTACACTTGACGCACACATGCGAAAATTGTGGTTTCTTCACTCTCAGAAGAAAAGACTGAAGTGAAACATGTATCACAAAGTATCGAACATTAGATAATTTATTTTATGAAACTGGATATTAAAACATAATATACAAATTACTAATTATTCTTTTGCTTTATTTTGAATTCTACGTTCATTACATGCAACATCAAACATAGCATAGAAAATGTTAAGTCGAGCTCCTTTCCGTTGTTGTACATCATCTTCGTTTCGGATCTGAACTCCTTCTGGTGCACTTGAATTAAGGATCATATCAAACACTTGTATTTTTTGTGCATAGGATAAATCATACAGTTATTGAGCAATTAAGGATTTTCTTTCAAAAAAAGATAATGAAAATTATGTTATAAAAAAACAATATATTTTGTGTTAGAAAATTCAAAATAAAATGTTATAAAATTTCATAAACGGAATAAAATATTATAACAGTTATATTTGAGTAATGTAATTAAGTGTTAAATATTATAATTTCATATATGTTCATTTATAATCAACAAAAATACAATTAATAAACATAATTTTTATATTCTGAATTATGTTAATACACATACTAGCAAAATTTGTTAATTAAAATAAGAAAATATCATATAAAAATATTTTACTTTTTATTTTACTCAATAATTGTAACAATTCATTCTATGTATGATTCATTCTACATAGTACATAAGCTATGTTAACACTTAATTAGCTACAATGTTTAATATACTGCCATATCACATCAAGTATCACAAATGTTCTAGTTACGAGATGTTATATAACATTGGATGCGGTCGAATTGCCGCTACGAATGCTTCGAAGCATTCATAGCGGTAACTCGACCGCACCTATTATATAAAATCAGCTAGTTGTAAAAAAATAGTTGTGAAAATAACAAAAATAATATTTGTACTTAATTAAATTTGATGCATAAAAAAGGATATTGTTTATCACGACTTTCACGTCCTTCGCGTTCATGAGGACGATCCTTTGTGTATGGAGATTTTTCCTGAAAATATATTCTTGAATAAGTCTCCCGAATGCCATGATATCTTGCGACTGATAATGGAAGGGGGGAACAATTGTCATGTATATTTTCTTGTCTTTTTTTTGCTATTGCCGCCCATTTTGTCCCTTTAATGTACTCGAAGTAGACATCATTATCAACTATGAAGTAATAGAAAATTGTTAAGAAAATAATAATTTAATTTTTTATTTAATAAAAGAAGCCAGCACTACAGAAGTAGCATTACAATTTCTGTCAGAAATCTTCTGATAAAATGTGTAACAAATTTCATTGAAATAAAAAAAATTAGAAATATGCGTGTTTCATAAGATGTAGAGCTGCAAATATATTTTATATATTTTTCTACGTGTTTAAATAACTTTCAAATGTATTACTGTCCGATAAGAGCGTGGTCGCGATTACTCGTAACTGGTAAAAGATGCATCCTAACTTTTTTGATGCTGATAAGTGTTACATTTTTGTGCATTATTAGCCATAGTGTCAGTTATTGTTTAATTCTTGATAAAAAGCATATTTCAAAATGAGTGCCACTTACGCATCACGCTATAAAGCTGTATTTTTATATACACATCTAAAATGACCGAAAATGTCTTAATCCGCTGCCGCCAAATACATGCGGAAATCAAAATCATTTTTCTAAAAGTAGGTACAATGTTATATTGAAACAAAAATAGTAGATGATTTGCCAGAACGTGGCACGGCGCATGTAAAGATGCACGCTTGGGGCTTTCTCAGAGCAAGGATTTAGCTATCTTTATTTATATATACACAATTTGAATACAAAAAAAATGTTAGAAATATTATATATCATAAGATTCTGATATCATCTACCCAACATTGGTTTATCTATAAAAATGAAGATTGGATTTTTCAAGAAAATAATAAAGCAGGTTCTGCAAGAACTGGAAAAAGCAAAATAATATCATGGCGCTAGACTGGACGTCGCAATTATCCAATGCGAATACGATTGAAAATGTATGACCGTTTATCAAAAGAAAACTTCGTGGGAGACGGACATTCACTTTAAAACAGTTGTCTGCCGAAATTTGATGCATTTGAAGGTCTTTACTGCACGAATACACTATCAATTTAGTGGAAAATATGCTTCGGAGATGCCAGTCCATTATAGATCAGTGATGACTGAATTCATTATTAATGTAATTGCATTTTAACGATAATTCTATAGAACATAATTATTATTACTTAAATAGTAATATATACATTTTTCTCATATATAAGTCGACCACGTTCTTATCGCGAACAGACTGTAACATTTTCTGATCCAACGTTTTCATAGCACGCACGCATACACGCACGTGCTTCTTTATAAGAAAAATGCGATCGGATAATTTTCTTTATGCATACGTCTATGCGACTATGCAAATTTGTATGGATATACTCTAATAGCGAATTCGAAGAATTAGTGCGCTGGTGCATATTAAAGCCGTTGTATGTACACTGATTTAATTTGAGTATAAAAGTAAAATGCAAATATTTCGAATTATAAAATACATATGTTAGCTAATAGTACAATAAAATGTATTGAATATTTTAGGATTTAATCAATTTCTATGTTATGTGTGTGTATAAACATACCGTTATTTTGTGTACAATGGGTTTAAGTATATATCCACACAAATTTACATAGCCGCATAAACATATGCATAAAGAAAATTATCCAATCGCATTTCTCCTATATAGACGCACATAAAATGTGATTGGATAATTTTCTTTATGCATATGTTTATGCGGCTATGCAAGTTTGTGTGGATATACCCTAATGTGCACCAGTGCGCACTGAGTGCATCCAATCAAATTCGTTATAAAAATGCAGTCCACTTGGTGCTACAAATGCTTCGAAGCATTTATAGCATCAAGTGGACCGTAGCTTAAAAAATTGCAAGTTTTTTTCTATGGTTTTCGGAATGCAGCCTACTCACCGAGCGATCTTACTTACGGATCCATAAGTGAGCAGACTGCATTCCAAAATCCATTAAAAAAAAGTATTGCAACTTTTTAGGGTGACTTTTACAACAGTATATACAGTAACGCAACTCTCCCGATTTTATGTGGGCCAAAATAGAGCGCGCATGCGTGAAATAAGTTGCCCCGTCTCATTTCCTCCCTTTTTTTTATTGTTCTCTCTCTTTTTCTCTCTATTTAAATAAACGTTTCAATGTTCCACTTAAACATTTGTCTTTCAAACATACATGATTCAGAGTAGAAATTTAGAGGAAAGTATTATGTGTATTGTCCATTTGTTGAAATATTGTGTGAAAAATCTCGAGAGATTGATCTATTGTAATTTTTATGAAAAAGTGAACAAAAAATAACATAGAAAATCGAGCAAAAAGGCTTTCTTTTTATTTATTGTATTTTAAATTTATTTTTTGGACATACATGTATATAAATTTCTTTTATATCAATTTTCTCATAACATTTTCATAGATATATAATATTTCTTCATACATAATATTTTTTTATACAAATATACATTTTTAAGTTCATTTAATATTTTTCCTAATATTTTTCTACATTTTCTCTTTATTTTTCAATATGTTTACAATTTATTTTTATTAATTTTCATTAAGTTCAAATTATTTCATTGTAATAGTAGGTTTAGTCGTTTGTATACGTTGCATGCTCTAATATATATGCTCCTATAACAGTTTATTCACTCCAACGCATTTGTTGGAATGCGACGCGAATAAATCTAGTGAGTTTTGACAGACCGAAAAAAGAATGAAGAGACAGAAGTTTAGGTGGTAACCATGGCAACGCTCGATAATTTGCTTATTTCACGCATGCGCACTCCATTTTGGCAAATACTAACATCAAAGGTGCCGAGGAGTTACAGGGAGTTGCGCTACTGTATGTACTGTGCTTTTACCAAGCTCCGGTTAGCTTGGTAAAACTAGTCTAATAACTTTGCAGAATTCCGACTGAAACAGATGTCGGAGAAAAAAATACAAACTGAAGAATTAATATATTTACATTTACAATTTCTCTCTTTGCATTCTTTCTTCATCTGTTTCAATCTCTTAGGCCCAGTTTGATAATTCACGATTAACTCTTAACCGAGGTTCAACTTATTCATTGTTTCTTTTCAATTCTAGAATTAAAAAGAGATGAGAAACTAATTGAATTTTGGTTAAGAGTTAACCGTGAGTTGTGGAATCGGCGAGTGTATACGTGTGTATCGGTTTCGTCAGAATTCTGTGTCGCCACCATTAACGCAGAATAAAATAAATGGAAATTCGATTTAAAGTTAATGTGTATATCTTAAGACACAGACGAGATACTATTAAAGGTCCTGGGCAAATTTTCGTGACTATCAATGGGGCCCCGGGCCTATTGATAATTGAAAACACGATGACTTTATCAATAGTTAATAAAAATTTATAATTATATCAAAGAGAAGTCTGAGAGTCAACGTCCCTCTTTTCACCGACCTAGCACGTCAAAACAATTGAGAAAAGTGAGTTTTTTCGTGAAAAAAAGTGATTAAATAGTGACTAAATAGTGAGTAAATAGTGATAAAAAGTAAGTAGCAGATTTGAAAAACGTTACTTTTTTTGTATTTTTACCATTACTTTATAATAAACAAAATTTGATAATGACTTTATTAATTTTTTATTACTAATCGCTAAGGTTGTGCTAAAGTTGGAAAAGTCGACTTTTCCAATTTTAACACAAATTTAGCGTTTAGTTATAAAAGATTATAATGTTATGTTTATTACTATATAGAAAGTAACGATAGAGTAACGGAAAAAATAACGTTTTCCAATTCTGATAAATAGTGAGAAATAGCGAGATAAACAAGAAGGTTTCTAAACTAGTTTCAGGTATTAAAGAAAAAACATTAATTAAAACATTAATTAAAACTGTATATTATAGAATTTTT